TCGCCGAAAGGGATTAAAGCACTGGAAGTGACGGCAGATGTGACCAAACGGGAAGACATGCGACGACTCGTCGACCAGACTATCAAACATTTCGGTAAACTTGATATTCTCGTCAATAACGCCGGCGCCGGAACTTTGGCCCCATTTGTGGACAAAGACTATTACGAAAAGTTTGAGTCAATAATGAATATTGATCTCAATTCTGTGGTCTATTTAACGCATATATGTGTCGAGCATTTGGAGAAAACAAAGGGAAATATAATTAACATCTCGAGTATCGCCGGAATGAGAGCCGTAAGTATTTATTCAAATCAAATTGAATATACAATACATTATTATTTCTAATTATCTCTCTTTATTGCCAGAAAATTTATTTAATATTAATTTATTCAATGTATTAGTTTGCAGGCTTTGGTCCGTATTGTATAGCAAAGAGCGGTCTGGATATGTTCACTAAATGTATGGCCGCCGAGTTGGGACCTAAACGCATACGGGTTAACGTAATCAAGTTAGTAAAATCTAAATTAAGTTAGTAAATAAGCATAATAACCATGCTTAATATTACAGTCCGGGTCCGGTTCGCACCAGTTTTCTTACCGCAATGGGCGCACCCCAGGACGCAGCTGACAAACTATACGAGTCATTCGCTAAATTGCCTGTCGGTCGCTCCGGACTGTCCGATGATGTGGCCGATAGTATACTATACCTGGCCAGTGACCATGCTGCTTTTATCACCGGCAGTAATCTCGTTACTGATGGAGGTTCCATTGCCTCAAACCAGCTTAATTTTGACCTCTAGAAACTTTAACCATGTTACAATAATTATACATGTAATTTTCTATGTCACAAATAATCATATAGTATTATAAAAAGTTGACTTTTATTATTAATTAACATTTATATTGTTATTTATATTGTATGGAAAAATGTTATAATTGTAAGAATGTTAGTTTTATTTTAAAATTTTTTCTTTTACATTGTTATAAATTATAACTTATAATAACATGAATTATTTTTATATTCATAATATTGCTGAATATAATGACAATTTAAATTTATATTTGTAATTATATTTTAGGTTACATGTCTTTAATTAATAGTTGTTTGTATTACCTTCACACAATATTAAATATAATATTAATCAAGTTGACATACTGTATATTTTAATGAATAAATTGATTTAATAATTATATTTGCTGTCAACAAAACAATTAACTTATTTATAATCAATAATTCTAATTATTATTCTAAATATAACATTTAATTTTATGTTGTAGGTATTGTATTTTAAAACATTATACTAGTTTTAAACCCTCTTGGTTAAACCCAAATGGATTTCTAGAGCTTATATTGTCAACCATTGCTGTAATCAAAAACACATTATAATATAAAATATTGATTTATATTTAACAATGTAAAAATTAATTATGCATAGCATTGTAAAATAAAAGTAGATGTAATTAATGTATGTTAATTAATTTAGTTATTATATGAAACATTTGCAATATTTAACATTGCATTATTTTTTGAATAACAAGATATTAAAATTCCGTTATTATTTAAAATGCTGAATATTATTGAATAGTTAATTAATCTATTATAAAAACAAAATATTATACAGTCTACACCGCATTTATCGGTCCCACATATAACGTAAAACCGCTTTTAACCGAATATTTTTGCTGCACCGGCAGCTCCTATGGTTATACAATGCTAAGTGCACCACTAATAGCAGAATCGGTTATAACGGAATACCGCATTTAACAGACAGTAAGCTAATGCTGTGCAATGTTAAACAAGTCCACATATAACGGAAAAGGGTTATACACAGATATAGTTATGACAAAAACTATTTATCCTTGTATTCTTAATAACCCTATTGATGAAATATTTTGAAGTGTTTCTAAAATTAGTGTTTTTTAATAATAAAACGTTACTTCTATCATGTTTTACAGCACTCGCTTTGTAACGTTTATTAAAATAAGCTCCTATTTGCAAAATGTTCAAAAATCTATGTCCGGGAATAACAGAAAACCGGATATAGCAGAATAGTATTTGAAGAGTATTTGTAATTAAAACTTGATTTTATTAATTTCTTTTATAAAACAGTTTAAAATGAATACAATTTAAGTTTAGGGTAAACACAGGGAGTGTTAAACACACTATACGTGTGTATGCTTTGGAGGGGAATACCCTTACATTTTTGGCATATTCTAATGAGACTGCAAACTAGACTGCAATGGACTGCAGGCAAGACTCGACAAAGTGCTGTATGGGATCAGCCCTTAAATAGTGTCACATTAGGGTCACGTTAACCCACTTTTAGTGTCCACTACTCTTGGACTGTGTGTACATATGGTATGCGTTTGTCGGCAGAGTTTGAGAGGGAAATAATGTTACAATTATGGGTTTATGGCTTAAAGTTAAAGTGAAATCATTTCACAAATAAGTGAAATGTCTATTCTTGGCAGAGATATAACTTATACTTTACATATTTAACTCACCGAGTGGTTCTGTTAAATGCGGTGCAGACTGTATATCAATGACATTATATTAAATTTATGAATAATTAATTTTTATTCTAGTTGATAAAATTATTTTAGTGATAAAATTAAAGATATCTAAAATGAAGTATTTCCAAAATGAATATTAATATTAATATAATTTTAACTAAAATAATAAAATTCCTCAAAAATTACAAAAACATATCGCGATTATTATGTCTAATCGGATGTTGCCTTCAATTACAGCCATTATTAACACAATATTTCTCATACGAGACCACAAC